TGTCCCGGGGTTGTGAGATTATGTCGCATTTGAGTGAGTCGCGCAGAAAGGCCGGGATCGGTTCGCTTGACAGTCGGCAGCACCGCCTTGGTGTGTTTATTAGTTATATTGTCTAAACGTGCTCATGTATGTAAGTTGTGCTGAACAGGGTCGACACAGAGGTCCCCAAGGCCCCCGCTCCCCGTTGACAGTTCACGAGCGCGGCGCGTCCATAGTGTCTTCCCGTCTACCAACGCACTGCAGGCTGCCCGTCCACCCTGTATAAAACATCCCCACGTGCTTGACACCACTGGTTGTAGTTAGTTACACCAAACATTGGATTAAGCGAGCGTGGTTGTTTTTTTTCTACTTCACGAGTTGTGGGAATATTTAATGGTATGCTTTAATGCACGGTATTATGTATTTTATTAGTGTATTCTCGCGAATCGGGACAGCTAGGTCGCAGTTTGTTCGCCGCGAGCGAGGCTGCGCCCCCGTTGACAGTTTAGCGTGGGCTGGGCTGGGTTGCAGTGGCGCGGACTGGCCATCGTGAACGAATCCGCGATGGGGCGCGGTACCGAGAGTGGTCCGGTCGGATAAGTCTACTTAGCACATCCCCCACTCCCCCCGTTGACAATTTACTAGTGGTAACCGGTAGAGAATTTACTAGTGGTACCGAAGTGGGCCGGTCGAGAGTCCCGGGCTGATTTTTAGTCCCAGTCCACCACTGGCTACATGACCGTATGATCGCCCATATTGACGCACCTAATTCCTAAACTTCTAACAGATACAACATAAACCGATCCTTCAGCCTCATATGAGCTCTCAGACACGTTCAAAATTAAACTGTCATCGCTGTCTGAGCTTGCTGCTGTGTGCGCCATCGTGCGTTTACATGCAGATGCTGGGATCCTGAACGGTGCAGCTGGAGCGCTGTGCCCGCAATGACGTCACACATAATTTGGCGGGACTTGAAGAATCCCCGAGAAGATCTAGAAAATTGTCAACATTGAAGGGCAGATTAATGGTTATCAAAGTACAAGTATCCAAAATCAGTTCAGTAACGGTTTCCAAGGGTCAATATTTAGTCAAATTGATGGGTTTGGATGATGGGGGAAACTCGTGTCACAGGCTCTTTAAATAATAATCACTATTATGGGTCCATAAAACATTTATTCAGCACTTTTGAATGCATACAGTACATTAATTCCAAGTCCAGTGCATTTTCTTTTCTCTGTAGGATAACTACAACAAAGTGCATTCAGAACAAAGCCAAGGTGCTCTAAAACTGCCTACAACAAAATAGTGTAAATAAAGACTAACAGCCAGGCCTTCAACAACAACAAATGCACCTATAAGTGCATGCATACAAATGTGCAAACTGGATAAATCCACATGAATGTAACTATTTACAAATGAAATTACAATTGAATTTCAAGAATCTGTAAATAAGGCTGTCTGTCCTCATAAGCAAAGTAGTAAACATTGTATAAAGATACATAAAGTGAAAACTGGATACAAAATCCACAATCAATTACAAATTAAATTACAATTTCAAGAATCTGCAAATATTAACTCCGCATATTCGTCCGGGTGTTTTGATTTCAAGTGGTGGAGTAATCCCGAAGTGGTGAAAGTCTTTGCAGTTACACCCCCTTAAGAAATGTCAGCTGAACACGTTTTACAAATCGCAATCCGCGCCTCTTTCTCTGATATTTTTAAATATCTCCAAGCGGCAGACATGTTGGCTGTGAGCCAGCCGCGAGCATGGTCGCGCGCCGTGCTTGTCTTGTATTTTTTCGGTGCTAGAACCCTTTCGGCCGATGATTACAATGATTACAAATAGTGAAATACAATGTAAAACTAACGAAAAATACCAGCTCACTAAAACACAACCGCTCAACTCAACGCAACTACTAACTATACCCGCGTTCAGAGAGCGGAGATGTGTCCCCTGCGTGATGTAATATGACGCGTTTGA